GTTGACTTTCTTTTTATAATTTTCTTAGATTTCTCTTATTTTTTTCTTATTTTTCCTTGATCTCTCATTTAATATTTAAAGTCCTTTTAAAATTCTTCTAAGAACTCTTTTTGGGATTGTAACCATTTGACATTTCTCATTGAAAAAGAAGTGACCTTTTTTTAGCTCCACTAATTTCTGAATATTAACCCAGATCTTCTCTATCCCCATAGTAGTTATCTATGGTTTGCTTCTTTCTCCTTTGCTTACTCATTTTTTGTTTTATTTTATTATTTAGCAGCTTATTGTTGATATTCAGGTTTTAGTCCCCAGGTGTGGGGAATGATGCCCCAGTCCTCAGGTCCTTCATGTTGTTATTATTTGAGCTCTGTCCTGAGGGTCAACCTTGGGCACTCTTCTCCACCCCTAAACTATGTTTGGAGCCCCCAGCCACTCTGTCCCACAAATGCTGTTGTTTACTTTGGTCCCTCTGGTGGCTGCAAACTACAGCTGTTCTCTCTGCCTTGGAATTGAAACCAGGGTCTCTGCTCTCCTGCCAATGCCTACAGCCAGCAGGGTTCCTGCCTCTCTGCTGTTGCACCCACCCAGGGATATGCTAGCTTCATCTTCCATATAGCAGTATAGGACCACAGTCACAGCATGGGACTGCAGCCACAGCATAGGACCCTATCAGTTCAGCACAGTTGTACTTGGCATTCCTCAATAGTGGAAGATCCTTCAATCTTCTTCTCAGCCTCTAATCTCCACACTATCTGTGAGGTGAAAGTTGCTGAGGCTGAGGCTGCCCCACTGCCCAGTTGCCCCCAGAGCTTGTTGTTTGTTGATTCAGTGGAGTAGGCTTGGAGGTGTTTGTACTTCACTCAGACCAAACCTACACTCTTAGAGGTGGAGTCTTTCTTGAAGTCTTCTCACATTGTCTTAGGATGACAACTGCTTTACCCTGACTTTTGTTGATTTCTGCTGCTTTACATTCACTTTGAGGCTATGTTCTGTCTTTTTTTGTGGAGAAAATTTGGAGAGCCTACTGACCTACTCCACCATCTTCCCAAAATCTCCTGCATATTCTTTGTTTCTTACTGTGCCATAACATTCCATTACATTCATCTGCTACTAATTGTTCAGCCATATTCAGTGGGACCCATTGTTCTTCTACTTTTTTGTTATCAATGAATTCTACATTAACATCCTGTTTTATGTGACCTTACTTTCTGTCATTGACATCCTAGCTCAGTAGTACTCAGTAGTGAAGGATTACTGGGTCAAATGTTGAGTTTATTGATTTTGGGGGACATAGTTTTAAAATTTTTTCCAGAACAGTTAGACTAATTAATTCATAGGTATAACAAAGATAAGTTTGTATTCCTGGCTTTCCATATCCCTTCTAGCATTGACCATTTACATTTTTTAACATTTTTGGCAATTTTCTAGGTGTAAGGTAAAGCTCAGAATTGTTTCGGTTTATTTTTCTCTTATTAGTGATTTGGACCAATTTTTAATGTTATTGTTGATTATTTGTTTTTCTTCTGAAAACAGCTTGTTTTCGACTTCTCTGTTAGGGGAAGGCTTGCAGGTTTTTTTTTTTTTTTTAGCAATTCCCCAGCTTTTAGACCACACCTCTGATTCTACTGGTATAGTGAACTCTTGGTGAAACCTCCCTCTGCCAATGCAGATCAACACTTGCTCTACAACTTATGGTCTTAGACAGTGTCTTGACGAATTGGCTATGAGACATTTATCAGAGAGAGTTGGCACAAATAGCTTTTCCGCAGCTGACAGTTTTTTTTCTCATCCTACTTGCAGTCATCTTTTTTAATGTAAAAAAAAGCTTTGTTTAGTTTTATCTAATTTTAATTATCTGTTCATTAAAATTTCTTTCTTTTTTTTTTTTCAGTGAGGCAATTGGGCTAGGTGACTTGCCCAGGGTCACACAGCGAGTGTCATGTGTCTGTGGTCGGATTTGAATTCAGGTCCTCCTAACTCCAAGGCCAGAGCTCTATCCACTGCACTGCCTAGCTGCCCCTGTTTCATCATATTTCTATAAACACTTCAGTACATTGGAATGTGGTTTATCCAGGCCTAATGTAATAAACTCATTGAGGCCTGGTACTCTTGCCAACCCTTGTGTTATCTTGTTTTTCAGTTCTATTCTCCATTGTTTTATGCTTCCCAGTCTGAAGGTTCTTTTCTTTGGACCTTGTTGATTCAACTTTTTGTGCTCTCATGGCCACCATTCTACTATAGGCTCTCTTTACCTCTTACCAGGATTGTTGCAACTGACTCTTAACTGGTCTCTCTGCCCTTCATATTTTTCCTCTCCTGTGTATCTGCCATACATTTGCCAAAGAGACAACCCTACAGCATTGGTTGATCATGGAAAGCCTCATAACTTTTACATGGCTGCAAAGGGTTTTCAGCTGTCCTTCCTTTTCATTCTTTGTCAGGTTTTTTCACTTTCCACACTTCCGCCTCCTGCCAGAGGTCAGGATTTGTGACTTTATCTTTTTTGTTTTCCAGTTGAAGGAAGAGTTCATATTTTTCATTTAACCTGGGAAGTAGCAAGGTATTCTCGCATCACTTCACCTCCCCTAGGAATGTAGCCAGCCTACATCTTGTTGCTCTGTAGCTATCACTTGGCCCTTGTAGGCATACATCATTGGAATTTTCAGCCTGGCTCTCCATGTTTCCTGGAACTGAGATCCTCAGTTCTCTATCACTTTCTGGTTAACTTACATAGATCATTCATATGGTTACTGACAGGGCAAACTGCCTAGTAGTTGTGCCTCTTTTGAATATGGAGGGCTCAGTTCTTTGGACTCTTGAGTAATGGTTTAGCTTTCAGGAGTCTTTCTTGCCTTTTTCTAGGTTTTACTCACCTTTTTTCATCATTCAATGCAATGTTATGATTTTTTTGTGTTATTGTATATTAGTTAATAATCTATTACTTGCAGGTTCCTTCCAAAGGTCAAATGCAAGTGAGAGCTACCCTCAATTGTTTTTTTGTGAGAAAGTCTTATGTATCATTTGACTTCCAGCCACTTCTCACTTCTTTATTTTTGTTTTTTGTTTTTTTTAATTTTTAGGCAATTGGGGTTAAGTGACTTGCCCAGGGTCACACAGCTAGTAAGTGTCAAATGTTTGGTTTGAGGCCAGATTTGAACTCAGGTCCTCCTGACTTCAGGGCCAGTGCTCTATCCACTGCGCCACCTAGCTGCCCCCCTACTTCTCACTTCTTGCCCAGCTGTCTAAACTTTAGACTCTTTCTACACACATCTGGTCTCATGACTTGTGAGTATGTATATACATACAATCTTTCCTTAGCCAAATACAAAAAATCTTGGGTATTATTAGCTAAGAAGCAGAAGTGGAATTCATCCCTGATGTTCTTTGTTAAATAAAAAAAGAAACCCTAATCACCATTAACCTGATTGTTTATTTTCCTCCTGCATTTATGTGTTTGACAAACCTGTGACCCATGAAATTAAATCAGAATGGAAGAGAATGAGCAGTAGTTTGGAAAAAATGTATTTTATTGCAATTTATAATTTATTTTATTTTTCATTGTTGCTTTGACATAACATACATTTGCCAACATATTCCTATAATTACCCTTCCCCCCTCACAGAGTCATGTCATATTTTGTTACTTTTAGATATTTTAATCTAACTTTAATGAACACCAAAAATTATAGAATATTTTCAAGTACAAAATAAAACAGATAAAAGATTATATGTAACATTTCAAATTTTTATAGTGTATGATTTGCTTTTTTTCCTGTAATAAATTTTTTTTCTTGCAATCAATTCAACGTGTTATTTTCAAATTGTCTTGCATGTGTATATATCCCTGTAACTTCCTTCTCTTCCCTTCTCTGCATTTAAAAAAATGCTTCAATGACCTTCATTTCTCCCTTTGATCTCTGTAGTAGCTCTCTGGGCCAAAGGGTATAGATATTTTAGTCATTTGTTAGCCTGATTCCAAATTGACTTTCCGTAACAGTCATACCAATTCCCTCAACAGAGAATTAGTGAGTGTATCTTTCCACAATTCTCCACCATTGGCTTTTCCTATCTTTTGTCATTTTTGCTAATTTTCCCCAGAGTTGTTTTACTTATCACTTCTCTTATTAGTAGTCATTTGTAGCAGTCTTTCATGTGGTTATTAGAGGTTTGCGACTTCTTTTTTGAGAGCTGTTTGTTCATCTCCTTTGACCATTTATTCATTGAGCAATGACTTAAATCACACAATTCTGTCTGTTCCCTCTATATATATGTACCATATCCGAGGTTTGCTGCCAAAATAACCAAAATAAAACAAAACATTTTCCCAATGTCTCCCCTTCTTATATCATACCATTAATTCTGTTCATGCAAAAACTGTTCAGTTTCATGTAATGGATATGAGCTATTATGTCTTTTGTAATTGCCTCTATCTAAGAAATCTCCTCTATTCATAATTGTCTAAGGTTTCTGATCTGATTCTCCTCCTCTTTCTTCTCCTCCTCTTCCTTCTTCAATATGACCTTCAATATTCAGGGCACGTGCAGATTTTAAGCTAATTATACCATCCATTGTAAATATTGGTCTAAACCTAATTTCTGCCAATTGCTTTCCAGTTTTTCCAGCAATTTTTTTCATACAGTTTTTCCATGAGTAATTTATGCTCTCATGTCTGTCAAAGACTAATTATTGAGTTTAATTATTTCTGATTCTTTCTTATTTAATTTGGTCTACTGGTATACTTTTCTATTTTTTTTTAATGAGTACTAAATATTTTTGATAATTCTTGGGTTATGGTATAATCTGAGGTCTAAAAATGCTATTCCCAAGAAGAGACTGACCATTTTTAAAGAAGCAACATTCATTTCACTGAAAGGGAGATGACAAAGAATGGTGATCATAAAGTGGGTGTGTTTTTAGCATTGCCCAGAGAAAGATAAGAAGTGAATTAATCACGGAAAATTTAATTGACCACTTTCCCTCTGATTATGTTTTCTCCTATAGTTTGGCATGGTGTTGTCTTACCCCTAGATGTTCCCAGAATCTCTTCTCAGCTGTCGGTAGCAATGAGAGCCTGAAAAATCTAGATTTGACTGGAAATTCCTTGAAGAAGAATGAAATAAAAGTTCTGTGTAAGGCCTTTGGAAACCGAAACTGCAAGTTAGAGAAACTGAGGTGAGTTCTCATATGTCCCCTTTGTAGATGTTCTGCTTGGCGTCAGGGACGGGAGGGCATCAGGAAGAGAGAGCAACACAACCCAGGAAATGGAGAGTGGAAACTGTCTGCCTAATCCAGGTTGAGGATTCGAAGTCTTATACCTTTCTCCCTCTCACTATGCACTAAGGAGAAACATGACTGGGAAAGATTGGTTTGTTTAGGGAACGCTGCCTTTCTCTCTAGTGGCCAATTATCACATCTGTGTGCATGACTCCCACACTTATATTAGCAGTCTTAGTCTCTGGATATCCTGTAAGCATGTCAGACTCAACACGTCTGAACAGAACTGTTTATCGTTTCAACAAAGCCCACACGTCTTCCTAACTTCCCTGTTTCTGTTGAGGATACCGTTCTTCTAGTCACTCAGGTTTGCAACGTCACCATTATCCTTGATTCCTCAGTTTCTCATCCCATACATATAATCAGTTGCTAAATTTTGTAATTTCTTCTCCCAAAAAGTCTCCTTTATCTGTTTTTTATTTCTGTGCATACAACTCCCCTTCTAGTTCAGACCCTCACCACCTTTCCCCTTCACTATTGCAATAGCCTACTAACTGCTTTCTATCCCTCCAGTCTTTCCCCTCTTTAATTCATCCACCCCACAGTTGCCCAAGTGATTTCCTTAAACACCAGTTTGACCATGCCATTCGCTTAATCAGTAACCTCTAGTTGCTCCCTATTGCTTTCAGGAACAAATATCAAATCCTCTGTTTGGCATTAAAACCTTTTGCAGCCTGTCCTCAACCTACCTCTCCAACCTCCCAACACCTTACTTTCTTCACACATTTTGTGGTCCAACCCGAGTGGCCTTTCTCTTGCTCACATACTCCTGTCTCTGCGCCTTTGCATTGGCTGGCCATGATCCCTGGAATGGTCTCCCTTTTTATCCCTGCCTCATAGAGTTCCTAGTGTCCTTCAAGACCCATTTTCAGCACTACCCTTACCATGAAGCCCTTCCTGACCTTCTCAGCTATTAGTGCCCTTCTCACAAAAATTCACTTGTATCTATTTTGTCTCTACCTATCATAAAAATACCTAATCACAATTGACCTGATTGTTTATTTTTCCTTTATATATTAGGAGCTCCCTTCTATATCATGTGTTTGACAAATTGTAATCCAGAAATTTAATCAGTGGAGGGCATTAGTAAGTTGTACACTATAAAGATTTGAAATTTTATATATAATCTTTTATCTGTTTTGTACATGGAGGTATTCTCTACTTTTTTGGTTTTTATTAAAGTTAGAAATAAAAATAGAAAATTAAAAAATATGACATGATTCTGTGAGAGGAAGAAGGGGAATTATAAGAATATGTTGGGAAATGTATGTGATATAAAGGTAAAAATGAACAATAAAATAAATTGTGAATGATAAATAAAATGCACTTTTCTAAAACTCCTGCTTTTTTCCTTAAAAGTCTATAATAAAGTCAACATGTTACTCTCAAATTGTCTTGCTTATATATGTTTCCCTTTCTTCCCTTCTCTGCATTTAAAAAAATGATTCAATGACCTTCAGTTCTGTCTTTGATGTCTGTGTTATAGTTAAATAGCAATGACTCTCTGGGCCAAAGGATATAGCTATTTTAGTCATTTGTAAGCATAATTCCAAATTGGCTTTCCTTAACAGTCATACCAGTTCCCTCAATACAGGATTAGTGAGCCTATTTTTCTACAGTTCTCCGACATTGACTTTTCCTATCTTTTGTCATTTTTGCCAATTTGCCTCAGTTTTCTTCTACATTTCTCTTATTAGTAGAAATTTGTAGAAGTCTTTCATATGGTTTTTAGAGGTTTGCAATTTCTTCTTTGAGAGCTATTTGTTCATCTCCTTTGACCACTTATTCATTGAACAGTGACTCGAGTCATATAATTGTCAGGTCCCTATATATAGCTTGATATGAGTCCAGTATCAGAGATTTGCTTCCAAAAAACCAGAACAAAACATTTTCCCAATGTTTCCCCTCATTATCATACCTTAATTCTGTTCAGGCAAAAACTTTTCAATTTCATAAAATGGATATGAGCTATTTTGTCTTTTGTTATTGACACTATCTAAGAATTCACCCATATTTTTAGCTAAGGTTCTTCTTCTTCCTTATGGATATTCAGGGTGCATGTATATTTTGAGCTAATTATGCTATATATTATAAATTTTGGTCTAAACCTATTGGTATACTTTCCTAGTTTTTTAACTAGCATTGAACATTTTTGATGATTCTTGTCTTATAGTATAATTTAAGGTCTAAAAACACTGTTCTCTGGAAGGAACTGACCATTTTTAAAGAAGTTACATTCATTCCACTGAAAAGGAGACAACAAAGGATGGTGATCATAAAGTGGATGTGTTTTTAGCATTGCCCAGAGAAAGACCGGAGGTGAATTAATCATGGAAAATTGAATTGACCACTCTCCCTCTGATTATGTTTTCTCCTACAGTTTGACGTCTTGTCATCTTACCTCTACATGTTCCCAGAATCTCTTTTCTGCTCTCAGTAGCAACAAGGGCCTGAAAAACCTGGATCTGAGTGGAAATGCCTTGGAGGGAAGAGGAATAAAACTTCTGTGTAAAGCCTTGGGAAACCCAAACTGCAAGTTAGAGAAATTGAGGTGAGTTCTCACATGTCACTTTTGTAGATGTTCTGCTTGGTATCAGGGGCAGGAATGCATTAGGAAGAGAGAGCAACACAACTCAGGGAAGGGAGAGTGGAAACTGCCTAATCCAGGTTCAGGGTTCAAAGTCTCACACTCTTCTGCCTCCCACTTAACCTTTTGACTGAATCCAAATTTTACAGGATGAATCCTTTCTCCAAAATTGACTTTTCCTGTCTTTTGTCATTTTGGCTAATTTGCCTCAGAGTTGTTTTACCCTGCATTTCTCTTATTAGCAGTAATTTGTAGCAGTCTTTCATGTGGTTATTAGAGGTTTACAATTTCTCTTTTGAGAGCTGTTTGTTTATTTCTTTTGACCATTTATTCATTGAGCAATGACTTAAATCACATAATTCTGTCTGTTCCCTGTGTATCTTGGATATTGGCCCCATATCAGAGATTTGCTGCCAGAATAACCAAAACAAAACAAAACATTTTCCCAATGTCTCCCTTTCTTTTCATACCATTAATTCTGTTCATGCAAAAAACCTTTCAATTTCATTTAATGGTTATGAGCTATTTTGTCTTTTGTTGTTGTCTTTATCTAAGAATTCTCCCATATTCATAGTTGCCTAAGTTTCCTGATCTTATTCTCTCCTCCTCCTCCTCTTGTTCTTGTTCTTGTTCTTCTTTTTAACATTATGACCTTCAGGCCAGATGTACACTTTGAACTCCTTATGGTATATGCTGTAAATGTTGGTCTAAAACTAATTTCTGCCAAAATGCTTTCCAGTTTTTCCAGCAATTTCTTCTCATGTAGGGAGTACTTCTATGAGTAATTTATATGCTTATGTCTATTGACGAGCAATTATTGAGTTGAGTTGTTTCTGATTCTTTCTTATTTAATCTGGTCTGTTGGTGTACTTTTCTATTTTTTTAACTAGTACTAAATATTTTTGATGATTCTTGGGTTATAGTATAATTTGAGGTCTAAAAATGCTGTTCTCTGGAAGAGACTGACCATTTTTAAAGAATTCCACTGAAAAGAAGATGACAAAGGATGGTGATCATAAAGTGGATGTGTTTTTAGCATTAACCAGAGAAAGGTAGCAAGTGAATTAATCACAGAAAAATGAATTGAATCTTTTCCAAAACAACTACATCTCTCCCCAAACTTCCCTATTTTTGTTGAGGATACCATCCTTCTAGTCACTCAGGTTTGCAACTTCATCATTATCCTTGATCACCTTTCTCACCCCATATACAATCAGTTGCCAAATTATGTAATTTCTTCTTCTGACAAAATCTCCTTCATCTGTTCCTTATCTCTTTGCATACAACTCCACTTCTAGTTCAGACCCTCTCATCTTTCCCCTTCACTATTGCTGTAGCCTACTAACTGGCTTCCATACCTCCAGTCTTTCCCTTCTCTAATCCACCTTTTCCACATCCTTAAGCACCAGTCGGAATGGTCAGGGGGTGTCATCCATTACCTTATTCAGTAACCTATAGTTGCTCTCTATTATCTCCAGGAACAAATATGAAATCCTCCGTTTGGCATTTAAACCCTTTACAACCTGTCTTCAACCTACCTCTCTAACCTTACTATACCTTACTTTCTTCACACATTCTGTGGTCCAGCCAGAGTGGCCTTACTGTTGCTCATACTGCACTCCTTCTCCTGTCTCTGTGCCTTTGCACTGGCTGCCCACTATGCCTGGAATGGTCTTCCTTATTATGCCTGCCTCATAGAGATCTAGTGTTTCTTTAAGACTCATTTGCAGCACCACCCTCCCCATGAAGCCCTTCTTGATTTGCTCAGCTATTAGTGCCCTCCTCACAAAAATTCACTTGTATCTATTTTGTCTCTACCTGCCTATTTATACATTAACCCCCTCCCCCCGATAAGATGCAAACTTCTTGAAGGCAGGGATTGTTTTACATATATCTTTTTATCCCCAGTATCTAATGCTCTCCTTGGTACATAGTAGGTACTTAATAACTCTGTTTACTGTATTATAGCAATACATTCTAATAGGAGGAAGCTAAGCAGTATTCAGAGAGTTTAGCAGAATTTCTTGAGGCAAGAATAGATGGATTTTTAAGTTTAGCCCATAACAGGTCAACTGAACTCTGAACTAAGTTCAGAGACAAGGAACCATGACTTAAGCAGTTACAGAGCAAATTCAGTCACTTATAAGTAGGATCAATAAGAAAATGAGACAGAATTCACTTAAATCTTACATGTGATTCTAAGAAGCAGTAGCATGCTCAGTGGCCATACCCTGGTAAACTGTTTCAGCAGACAACTAAATCAGGTTGAGGATAACTAAGGGGTCTCAAACCCTTTGGCGAATTAGGGGGTATCTACCCCAAGTATATGAAGACTTCTCCTGGTGGAATGGGTAGATGAGAACAATTTGTTCCAATGGGCATGAAGGTGGGTGAAGCAGACTCTGTGGAGCTATTAGAGCTTGGTTAGACATCAGGGACACCAAGGTCATTTACTGTGTCTTGAGCCATCACCAGTTATCTTGACTCTGTCCTGTCACTGGATTGTTACAATGGTGGAAGAGAGAGAGGGAAGATGATGACTCCACACAACTCTGCCTCACTGAAATCCAATTTATGCACGAATCCAGAGACATCACCCCATTTTACCATTTTTACCTATCTCAAAGTTCTGTGGTGACAGGCAAGTGATGAAGCAGCAGTGTAGATGCACTGGGAGCTGTAGTCACAACCCTGTACACAGGTGGCTCAGGCCATAGGGTTGTCTTTTCATTGGAAGCAGCTGTGGGTTTTGGTAGCACCCCAGGTGTCTGAACAGCTTTTTAAGTATCACACTGTTCACTTCCTGGTATAAGGAAGGTGCTAGAAAAGGTGTCCTATAAATTGTCTTCTTACAAAACCCTTGCCTATTTTCGTGGCAGCAGGGGACCGTAACCTGCAGTAGAAACACACACACACACACACACAAAATGTACAAAAATTTCTGCAAAGATGATTCCATTTAGCATCAGCATGTGGAATGTGTGCGCACTTATGGACAATGCAAAATCCAGTAGCCGTGAAAGATGAACAACTCTTGTTGTGAGAGAATTCAGCAGGTATACAAGTAGTAGCTCTGAGCAAACTAAGGCCAGCTTACCAAAGTGGGTGCTGGGTACGTGTTTTTTTCCAGAATGGCTACAGTGATGGGGAGCACCAGGAAGCTGGTGTTGCTTTCACAATCAAATCTAATCTAGTAAACAAGCTTGTATACCTCCCAAAAGGAGTGAAATATAGGCTCATCACAATGTGATTGCCACATGTAGGAAAGCACCATATCACCATCATCAGTGCCTATGCTTCCACCATGATGAGATCAAAAACAAATTTTATAAAAACCTGGAGACCCTCGTTGCCAAAAGAAGACAAGCTTATAATTCAGGGTGACTTTAATGTTGGAGTAGACACAGACTATCAGATATGGCAAGGTTATCCTTGGGAGGAATGGAGTTGGAAATATCAACAGCAATGGTCACTTAGTGCAGAAGACTTGTGCATCTCATGACCTTCTCATCACCAACATTGTGTTCCATTTACCTAAAGACAATAAAACTTTGTGGATATACCCTAGCAGCAAACATTGGCATTTAATAGACTATGTCATTATTAGGAAAAGAGACAGATAGGATGTGAGACTGACAAAGGCAATGTGTGGCACAGAGTGCTGGACTGAGCATAGACTTATCCTCTCACAGCTAAATATTGCATTCAACAAAAGCAGCAGCCCCAAGGCAGATTAACAACTGGAAGACATAATGTCAGCAGATTAGAGTGCTTCTCTGAGTGGCGACAATTTGTTGCTAACTTGGAGGCAAAGTTGAGACAACACTTGATTGGTAACAGCTGAGCAGAAAAGGAGTGGATAGCTTTCAGAGATTTGGTGTACAGCACTCCATTTACTCATCTGGGTCAGAACACTGGTAAACATCAAGCCTGGTTTGATGAAAATAATAGAGAAATTCAGAAGCTGCTAAATGAAAAATGAGAACTCCACAGTGTTCACCCATCTCTTAGAAGGCAGCATTAACTCCATGAAAAGTAAGGTACAAGCAAAGCTGGGAGAGATGCAGGATTTTTGGCTCAGTAAGAAGGTAAATGAAATTCAGTTTTACACTGATAATAACAATCCAAAGCAATTTTGTGTTGCCCTGAAGGCTATTTATGGGCCTAAGACCTATTACTCAGTGCTAATGGTGCCACATTGATTAGTGATAAAGACATGATCCTAGAGAGATGGGCTGAAACACTTCCATAGCGTTCTCAACAGACCATCATCAATCAGTGCTGAAAACATTGACTGTTACCTCAGGTTGAAGTCAATCCCTCTCTAGACAAATATTCTACTGAAGAAGAGGTTTGAATGCCATTTGGTTACTTTCCTGTGGCAAAGCACCTGGTGATGATTCTGTTCCAGTTGAGATTTTTGCAGACCTTGTTCTCTTTGCTTTTCTGAAAATGCAGACATTTGCCCTTCTCCAACCTTGTAAGACCGCTCTTGTTTTACAGTCTTTCACATATCACCAACAAAGCCTCAGTAATCACATCTTTTTTTCTAAATTATTTTTAATTTTCAAGTAACAGATTTTTTTAAATTTGTCTCTCCCACTAACTTCTCCTCCATTGAGAAAAAAAATCCTTAATATATAGCTATATAGTCTGGCAAAAGAAATTTCCATATTGCTAATGTTTAAAAATATGTCTTTCTGCATTTCAAGTTCATCATCTCTGTCAGAAGATGTGTGGTCCATTTTATCATTATTATTTTGGACTCATTTATCGTTGTGTGGATCAGAGTTCTAAAGTTTTTCACTTATTTTTCTCTATGTTATTATTGTATAGATTGATCTTGTTCTGCTCATTTCCCTCCCCATAAGTTCACTGAAGTTTGCTCAGTTTCCTCTGAAACGGTCTATTTCATTATATCTTATGGTACAATATTCCATTACATTCATATGCCACAACCATTCCCCAATAGAACACCACTTAGTTTCCAATTTTTGGCTACAACAGAAAGAGTTGCTATAAGTATCATTATACATATAACTCCTTTTCCTCTTTCTTTCATTTCTTTGATATATAGGCCTAGTAGTGGTATAGCTAGGTTGAAGGGTATACACAATTTAGTAGTTCTAGACATTCCAGGAAACTAAATGACTTCCCAGAATATCCAGACCAATCCACAGCTCCACTAACAATGTATTACTGGGCCTGTTTTGCCATAGCCTCTCCAACACTCCTCATCCTTCTCTTTTGTCATCTTTGCCTGTCTAAAGGGTGTGAAATAGAACTTCAGTTTGCTTTAATTTACATTTCTCTAATTATTATTGATTTATGGACTTTTTTTCTTATGAATATTGATGGCTTTCAATTTTTTTTTTAGGCAATTGGGGTTAAGTGACTTGCCCAGGGTCAAACAGCTAGTAAGTATCAAGTGTTTGGTTTGAGGCTGGATTTGAACTCAGGTCCTCCTGACTTGAGAGTCGGTGCTCTATCCACTGTGCCACCTAGCTGCCCCTGGCTTGCATTTCTTGCCTTAGAAATTGCCTATTCATATGCCCTAAGGGCTATAAAACTGTGAATACCCTTTCATCAAACAATAATATTTCTAGGTCTGAATCCCAGAGAGAGAGAGAGAGAGAGAGCACACCTATTTATACATAAATATCTATAGCAGCTCTTTTTGTGGTAGTGAAAAATTGGAAATGAAGGGATGTCTGGGATGTGGTTGAATAGGTTATGGTATATTATTGTGATGGAATACTATTGTGCTATAAGAAATGACAAGCAGGATGATTTCAGAAAAACCTGGAAAAACATATACAAACTGATCCAAAGTGAAGTGAGCAGATCCATGGGAACATTGTGTATAGTAACAGCAATATTATATGATGAAGAAGTGTAAATGATTTGACTTTTCTCAGCAATACAATGATCCAAGACAATCCTACAGGACTCATGATGAAAAATGCTGCCTCCAGAGAAAGAAATGATGTCTGAATACAGACTGAAGCATATTATTTTTCACCTCCTCCCTTTCTTTTTTTCTTGCTTTCTTTTGAGTCTTCTTACAATAAATGACTAATATAGAAATGTTTTACATGATTGCACACATGTAACCTATATCAGATTGGTTACAGGGTTAGGGAGGTTGGAGGGAAGAGAGGGAAGGATAGAATTTTGATTTCAAAATTTAAAAAAGTTTAAAATTTATTTTTATATGTAATTGGGACAAAATAAAATATTTTTTAAAATTGCCTATTGTTCATATCCTTTGATCATTTATCTATTGAAGAATGGCTCTTAGCCTTTTAAGTTTAAATTAGTTTGTTATATAACTTGGACTTGTGACCTTTATCAGTGAAACTTGATCTGAAGATGCTTTCCCACCATTTACTGGTTTGTTTTCTAATTTTATCTGCATTGGTTTTGTTTATGCAAAAACTTTAATTTTATTTAGTCAAAACTTGCCATTTAAGCTTTTATGATCCTCTTTATCCCTTGTTTGGGTCATTAACTCTTCTAGAAAGTATCATTTCCATTCTAGCCTGATGAATTCTTTTTTTTAAATTCTGAACTTAAACACCAAGTGGAATGGATTTTTATTCTATATAGTAGAACAGAAAAAAGAGAATTATGCATGAAATTGTGGATCTCTAATATGTAGAGCTTGATTTTATTTATAAATAATGATCAATATGTAGCTTTCAAAACTATCCTGTTTATGCTTCTTTCTGGCCTTCCTTTTGTTCTTTTCTCTCTATTAAAAAAAAAAAAGATGCCTTAGAGACTTTTTTTCTTTTTCCATTCACAATCTTATCCTTATTCCCCACTTATCCATCTTCTCCACCTCCCCTTTTGGGGAAAAGAAAAATAAAGCCCTTATAACAAATATACAGGATCAAATAAAACAAATTCCTGCATTTGACGTGTGTGTGTGTGTGTGTGTGTGTGTGTGTGCGTGTGTGTGTTCCGAGGGTGTGGTTCTGAAGGGGCTATGGGTTTGATCCACTTCCCACAAAAAGTCAGGAAATGAATAGCTCCTATAGAAATGAAATTGTCATTTCTCCTTTGATTGTCCTTCTCCTTTAGGCTGTCTGGCTGTAATCTGACTGCTACTTGTCTTCAGGATCTCCTTTCTGTCATCTGTGGCAGTGAGAACCTAAAAACCTTGGACCTGAGTTTCAATTTATTTGGTGATGAAGGAATGAAGCTGCTGTGTGAGGCCTTGGAAAAGCAGGATTTTAAACTACAAACGTTTACGTGAGTTTCCCAAGTTTAATTTCTAGAATGTCCCCTAGGCATTAGGGCCAAAAAAGAAGGAAGAGCAAATGGCAGGGGAAAAAAACTTTTTACTTAATTTTTTCAGTTAAAAAAAATCCACCTTATTTCCCTCCATCACTCCCCTCCCCCTGCCAATTTGAAAAAAAAAAAGAAAAGTAAGACTTTTATAAGAAATATGCATAGTCAAGCAAAACAAATTCCCATATTAGCCTAGTCCAAAAAAACATGTGTCACAATCAATACCCTGTGTCCATCACCTTCCTTGTTAGGAGGTAGGTAGTCTGCTACATGAGTCCTCTGGAATTATGGTGGATTATTGCATTAATCAGGGTTTTAAAGTCTTTCAAAGTTGTTTGTTTTTATAATTGTCATTGTATAAACTGTTTTCCTGGTTCTGATCACTTCACTCCAAATCAGTTCATACAAGTCTTCCCAGGTTTCTCTGAAACCATCCCCTTCATCGTTTCTTAGAGTATAATAATATTCTATCACATGAGTGTGCCATAACTTGTTGGGATATTCCTAATTTCATGGACATCCTCTCAGTTTCCAGTTCTTTACTGGAGCCACAAAAGGAACTATGGGCAGGGAAGATTGGAGAGGGACCCCAGAGTCAGTAGTCTCACACAGTCTGATTCTAAGACATTTTCTTTCCTGCTGGACATTCTAGGTAAGGGAGCCTTCCCTTTCTCACTCCTATGGCTTGTGCCAGGTTAGTTTTCTCAGAGCAGAGTCCACTTCCTTCTGACAAACCAAATGGGCTTCTTCAGTCTTTTCAGTCCATCCCCTTCACCTGAGACCTGTTCCTCGGTCTCACCGTTCTCTCTTGTTTCCTTCTGGAAAGGAAGGGTCAGTGTGTCTAGGGTGAAGAGGCTGAGCAGCCCTGGAAACGGGGCATAGAGGGAATGGTTAAGAAAAACTGCCACATGAATGCTTACATATGAAGAATGAATTTCTTCCACCCACTTATCCACAGGGCAGAGACAAGGATCTTCTCCTGTTGTTTTCCTGTGGCTCCCACAGAATCACAGCATCTCAGACAAAGACGCCTCATCTAGTGCAGAGGGACCAACCTTGGGGCCAAAACACTTCCCAGGGTGGCCCAACCAGATTCAGATGGGAATGTTTAATACAATAAATAAAAATGCAGTACAACATAGTTAGTGTTAATTTAGTTTTCTAAATCAACATGTGACCCTAAGGGATTAATTTTGACTTGAATTCGATATTTGTGGTCAAGTCCAACCTGTACCTAATCAGGCCTCTCTATTACTTATAAGCTCCTTTGAGATATACATATATACATAAATTTGTATATATATGTAGAGAGAGATTATATTTATTTTTACATTTATTATCTCTTCCTCCATCTGCCCCCCCATTAGAACAATAAAATCAAAACCAAAAAAGTAAAACGCTCTCATGCCTAAGCTTCAAATACTGAAATTCTGCTAGCATATTCCTGCCTTCCTCTCACTCCCCCAACTTCTTCATCTGACCCACACACAGCACTGTGGAAGAGGTTGCCATTGATAGAACACTAGGCTTGGAATCAGAAAGAGACCTGAATTCAAATTTAGCTCTACTTATTAGCTATGTGACCCTGAGCAAGTCACTTAAGCTCTGTCTGCCTCAGTTTCCCTAACTGTAAAGTGGAGATAACAATAGCACCTAATTCACAGAGTTGTTTTGAAGATTAAATGAGATAGTATTTATAATGTGCCTAAGGCTACCTGCTCCATAGGAGGTGCTTAATAAATGCTTGTTTCTTTCCTTCCTTGTTTCACATTCCCTTCTGTATCTTGGTTACTCTGCTATGAACATTCTTCAGTTTCTTAATGTTATTCCTCAAATGAGGCCCCTGCCCCCTTTTATCCCCCAACAGAATGCAAAAATCCCATCCTGGCTTGACCAGGGCATAGTATAGAAGCTCTAACCCATACCTCCTTTTGTAACCCTATGCTTCTCTTAATGAAGCCTAAATTCACATTAGCTGTTTTGTCTGACTTGTCACACTGTTGACTCATAATGACTTGGAAACCCAGATGTTTTTCATATAAATGGTTGTGTATCCATGTTTCCACCTTTCTGGCACTTGTTCACTTGTTTTTTTTTTGAACCCAGGCATAGGACTGACCATATGTGTAGGCTCTGGCTATGAATGGAGATTCTGTCCAGGCTGTGCTGGACCTGCCCCCTATGAAGTCCATGAAGACAAAGACTTCTGCTTACTGTGATTCAAGTAGTCATGAGGGAGGGGCATTAGAAGGGCAAATCTTAAACTTATTTCAGATACAAGAGATGAGTTTTAAAAAAACCATTCTACAGTAGCTTCTGCACACATACACACACACACACACACACACACACACACACACACACACACA